CATTTTCTAGACTGGAAACTTAAGGAGGAAATAAACTGTACCTTTGTGCTCAGACACATAACTACCATCACATTTTAGGTAACAATAAATACAAACAATACACATTTATCAAATTTTAGGAAAAAAATCACCAACAAAATGTGCTACCCATACAACATAAGCTCTTCAAAGACTGTCAATACATGGCATAAGTTTATTTACCATTTTGCCATCATATATAAATTCGGGCTGAAATTTGAAAACTGAAATTTGTATTCCTGTTGTGTTAATTCAAAGTTCTATTTGGCATTCCATTTTGCTTTTAGCAGAGTATTGAAAGCCAACAGCACACATAAAAAATAACTTACAAAGCATTATGCTTAACTACCAGACACTGCAGCACCACCCACCCAGTAAGCCAACCATGTCCTAAAGCAGCATGTCTATAATGTGAAGGGAAGGGATTCTGCCCCTCTACTCCACTCTACTGAGACCCCACCTGGAGAGCAATGAAGGACACAGACCTGCTGGAAGAACCCAGACAAAGGCCACAAAGATGATCAGAGGGCTGGAGCATCTCTGCTATGGAGACAGGCTAAGAGAGTCGGTGGTGCTCAGCCTGGAGAAGGCTCCAGGAAGACCATACAGGACCTTCCAGTACCTAAAAGGGGCCTATAAGAAAGTTGGACAGAGACTTTTTACAAGAGCATGAAGGGACAGGATAAGGGACAACAACTTTAAATAGATACAGAGTAGATTTAGATTAGTTATTAGAAATAAATTATTTACTTTGGGGGTGGTGAGGCTCTGGAACAGGCTGACCCTCCAGTAGCTGTGGAGATGAGTGTGCCACATGCCTGGAAGTGTTCAAGGCCAAGCTGAATGGGGCTTTGAGCTACCTGGTCTAGAAGGAGGTGTCCTTGCCCATAGCAGGGAGCTGGAACTAGATGATCTTTACAGTCCCTTCCAATGCAAGACAACCTATGGAATCTCTTCTGACTCTGCCTTGTCAGCATTGGCCTGAACATTCTCCATTTACAAAACAGCACTCTGCAGGTATGTGCTTTAATATTTTTAGTTACAGACACAAAGCAGACAAAAGTAAAGAAACTTCAAACAGGAAATGGCTTGACTGCAATTATGTGAGCGATGGCAGAAGATTCAGTCACACAACCACACATACAGTATGCAAAATAATACTGCATAACAGTCCTCCTAAATTCCTGATAACATCTACTGCAGGGCTCTTAAGTGACCACATATACCACACGTAAGTTATGGGAATATAAAACAACTGACAGAACGACAGACATTTACAAGCTACACTAAAATGCAAACAAGAGATAGTTCTTATACAGTAAAAGTGTACAGCTGCAACTGTATTCAAGTCCATCCCAGTCTTTTCATTTCAAAACCTCAAAACAAAAAATCAAATCAATACAGCAAAGCCATGAGGCCACTCTAGATCAAGATACAGAAGATAGCATCCAATGGAAAATGTTGCTGCAACGTTGCAGCACATTTTAAAAGATTAAAATATTTTTAAATTATTATTTCCTCTAATTTCACCCATACTTCCCAAGTAGTCTCTTGATATTGACAAGATATTGCCAGTTTTTTAAAATGTGTTTGTGCAATTCTCATATATGCTAGAGCTTTTATTTTTTGCTTTTTTCCTATTAAGAGATTCCGAAAATACTTTTAGAACTTCCTAAATCAACGTGCAGATGGTTTCTGCTCTTAATAAACCAGAATCTTCAAATGCCCATGTGAGACATGTGAGCTGATACCAGACCTTCATAGTTGAGGTCAGATCAACCACAGCACACTTGGAACACTCCATGAAGGTCTGCACTTCCAAAGGCAACAGGGACATAACTCTCACAGGAGACAACCAAAGGGATTTAACCCAAAACAAGAAGGCCAAGCTGGGAAAGAAGCTCTGCACAAGTGCCAAATGCGCTGTATGGTAAATATTACCCACTCAAAACTGGCACCAGCAGCAATGCAGCTGGGATCCAGTGCAGGCTGGCAGCCTTGTGCACTGCTCCAAAACTCACAAGCCCCAGGTATCACAAGTTTAGAATTGATGACAGCCCAGGCTCCCATAAACACACTGTACTGCAAATACTCCTTGCTTATTAGTTTGATCTGGCATCAGTCTTTCACATATATAAGCCAATGCCTATGAACATACTAATATATTTATATTTCAGGGCCTACTGATTTCTGGCAAGCTACTTCTTTGTAAACCATATATAAAGTAAGATGCCTTGATAACATCTCACAAACATGAATGCAAAACATGAACCCAAGCACGGCAGCTTATGCTTATTTTCAAAGAGAGCTACCTAGTGAGGACACACAATTTAAACACAACCAAGGAACACTATAAAAATACAACACATTATAGTACCAAACAAACACCAAGGTATTGATTACTTTTAACCCATAATCTGTATTAGAGGATGCAAATTACAGTACCTGGAAAAATCCAACAGCCTGAGTTGTAAGAAAGAAAAATGTAAAGAGCATATAAAAATGAGCTTCACAAAAAATATTTTTCTTGTCTCAACAGAGCTACTCATGGACCACCATTTTTTGTTAAAATAAATAGATAGATAATTTATATTGCAATAATAATTTCAAATTTAAATGGCAGGTATTTGAAATACATCCAAAAATATCCTACATATACATATTATCTGTATGCATATTCCTAACAAGAGCTGCAACAGTGAAAATACCTGCTCTCAATAAACTTAAAACTATGAATTTGGCTGCTGATGGTTTTTCTAACAGCTTTGGTTTCCCAGAGAAGACGAGCACAAAATGCCTGCCACTTTACTCAGCATCTTTAACATATACCATAATTCCTTCCCAGGTATTTTCTAGAGCATTTCATGTCAATCTACCTGCAGGAGCGTGTGCAAAAGTGACACAGAGTGATACAAGTCTGACAACTACTGGTGTGGAAAATGGAGAAACCAGACTGCATTATACATTTTAAGGACGTCGAATCCCTGTTACTAAGTCCCTATATTGCTTATCAACCAAATAAAAAACCCAAGAAAACCCAAAAAGCAAGCAAGCAAGCAACCACAGGAAGACCTAAAAAACAAAGACTCTCCATCTTCGCAACTATTTCTATTTTAAGTTAGCAAGTTTCCTGCTTGGGCGATGACGTTCTGCAGAAGCTACATGGTATTCATTAATCTGGGGCAAATCAATTAAAATTATACAACTGCTCAATATGCAAGCATTTGTGCATAAAAGTTCTCCTCCGCCACTAACCGGCGTTCGGCAAGTAGTTATTTTAGCTAAAAGCGCCGAACAACTCACTAGCTGTAAAACTGCTACATCTTGTGGCAACACAACACAAGGAGGAAAAGCAGACAATACCCGAAAGGGAACAGCGAAGGGACTTGTTTGCTCATAACCTTCATACAGATATTCCCTGCAAACACCCACAACACCCTGCTGTCGCTGTCGGTGTAACACAAGAGGGGAGGAGCAGGGGAGGGAGGAGAAAAATATTATCATCGAAGGCGTGATGGAGGACAGGAGAAAGTTGCAGTCATTCCGTGGCGGCCGCAAGGCGCCCTGTCACTTCTGGCCGCAAAACCGGCCGCCCCTGAGGGCGCTTTCCCCACGGGGACGAACCTCCGGTGTCGGCCCCTCTCTTCCCACCTCCATGATGCCAAAAGTGCCCAACTCCCTCCAGCAACAGCGGCTGCATCCTCCGGCGCAGCACTTCTACTCAGCCGCTGGCGGAGGGGAGCCTATTTCGGGGAGGACGCGGCGAGCGGCCGCCCGAGGAGACGCGAGCGGCTGCGGCAGGCGGACGGCCCGGGGCCGGAGGGAGCACGGCGGGTTCCCCTGCGCGGCCCGGCGCGGGGGGTAACAACGAGGCGCCGCCGCGCCGACGAGCGGGCGGGGGCGGCGGGGCCCCGCTCGCCCAGCGACCGAGGTTCCGCTCACCACCACCGGGCCCGGCGCTGACCCCGCGCCGCCGCCGGGGGCACCGGCCTCTCCCGCCGCCGCTTCCCAGCGGCCCGGGACCGGCCTCCGGCGGCGGCGGCCGGGCCCCTCCCCAAGGGCCGGGCCCCCCGCGCAGCCCCGCGGCGCGCTGGTTACCTTCCTTGGGCGGCTTGCCGGGCGGCGCGCCGTGCAGCTGGGAGGCCGTCGCCGCCGCGGAGCAGCCCTGCAGGCTCGGTGGGGACGTGGAGAGCCGGGACCAAGATGGCGGCCCCTCCAAACTTCCACTGCTACTTTGGACACTCATCAAGCTACTTTCCTGGAGCCCGGCAGCCGCCGGGGGCGGCGGGGAAGGCGGCGCGGCGGGGGGACACCCAGCGCCGCGCTCATGGCCGGGGGGCCGGCCCGACACCGGCGCGGGGAGGCCGCCGGCTGGGAGCGAGCTCCGGAGGCAGGCGGGGCGCGAGAGAGACGGGGCGCGGGGCCAGCGCAACCTGCCCGCACCTCTGCACTGCGTCGCCGCCGCCGAGCAGCCGCCTGTGTCTGAGGCCAACCTTCCCCGCCGCCGCCGCCGCTGCCGCCGGGGAGGGGAGGGGAGGGCGCAGGCGGGGAGGGGTCATGCGCAAACACGATCGCGAGCCGAGCGAGCGCCGCGCTCCGCCGGCGCCCAGCCGAGCCCCGCCGAGCCGGAGCCGCCCAGGGGCGGCCGGCGGGAGCGGCGTCGGCCGCGCACGCACCTGCCCCCAGCCTCACCGCGCCGCGCGGCCCGAGCTCGCCGGCTGCTCCCGCCTCCGGGCTCCGACCCGGGCCGGTTCGCAGCCGCCCGCCGGCTGACCCTTCTCCCCGTGCACGCCCGTCCCGCGGCGATACCTCCCTGCCTTGCTCAAGCGCGCACCTTCCGCGCCGCAGGCGGCCTTCTGGCCGCCGCGGCCCGGCCGGAGCTAGCTCCCCTGAGGCCGCGGCGCTCCCCTCCGTCTCGGTTTCCCCGGCGGCACGGTCCGCCCGTGCCGCCGCGCCTTCCCCCGCGCCCCGCCGCCACGGCCATGGTTGTGTCGGGGCGGGGCGGCGGGGGCGGGAGCGGCGGCGGAGACGGAGACGGTACGCGCGGTGCCGCGGCCGGGGCCGGGGCCGCGCCGCCCCGACACCTCCCCGGCGTGCGGCCGCGCGGGGCCAGCCCAGCCCGCTGCCGGAGTGCGGGCGGCAGCGGCGGCGCTGAGCCGGCGCTTCCCAGCGCGATCCAGGTGAATGTTGTTCAGGCAGCATCGCCGGGAGCTCTCGGGCGCCTGCCGCTTCTCGGCGTTCCTTTTTCCGGACAGGATGGTGTGCCAGCAGAGACTCGGCGACACTCGGGAGAAGCTGATGTCCCGAGGGAGAAGGCTTTAGCTGCTTCGCTGAGGAGCGGGAGCTCCCATCGGATGAACTGGAAGTCGGGCAGGAGCCATATACCAGGCCCACCACCTCACCCGCTTCAACCGCCAGGCTGGGGCTCCCAGGTGGGCACCAACAGCGACCTGGCAAATTTCAAAACGTCTCTCTTTGCCTTGAGTTTAGAGACTAAAGTGCAAACTTCGCCGAATTTTTCCGTTTCTTCTTCCTTGAAATTAACATAATAGTGACCGAGAATGTGAGATATATGGAAAATCACTTCTGAAACAAAGCCTTTTAATTTGCCAGTGCAACTGGTAAATATATTTTTTTATATTTATATATATAACAGGGATAACAATGAGTTTGATTACTTACAAAAAATCAACGGGTTGTGGATATATTGCATTTTATGCATATGAAGAATATATCCATCATTCAGGCATGGCACTTATTTTGTGGTTGCTGTGTGGAGACATCCTGTCCATCTACTAACCTACTTTCCCTTCTATTTGAGAATGACAGGAATAGATTACTAATGTTGGATTGCAGTTCTCTGCACAACACACATATTACTAATTCTGTCTCTTCCTTTTAAAGTGACATCTGTGAAATTATCTAAGATCTTCACCTCCCACAAGTATACAGCATAGCTGGAAGTTTCTTTACAGTTTGGTATTAACTAAAAGTAAAAATTAGTATGTTTGCTTGCTAAACAAGTCTGTTCCAGGGCATATATCTAGTTATATATATATATTTAAGAGAGGTGATATGGTATTTCAGCAAGGACTTGCTTTTAATAAGGACTTGATCCTAAAGACTTCTCAGACTTCACATAAGCAAATTACATCAGGAAATTTCCAATACTTGGGAATGAAGTAGAACAGTGCTAGTTCACTCTGACTGCAGTATTAATACTTAGCAGCTGGTATAGAATATTCTTGCTAGGTACATAATCCCACAATCCATGATAGCATAAGTGAACATGCACCTTGTTTCCTGATTAATATATCCTGCTGCAGCATGCTTCTTTCAAAATCTGCTAAGTAAAAAGCAGTAAGTGAAAGAAATTAAGAAATTGTCTCTTTGTTTATAGCTCTTTGCATCCACTTCATACAAACCCTTGCTATCCTTACAAAACCATGCATAAGCAAGCATTCTTTCTTCCAGTTTTGCTTACTAACTGTTGCCTACAAATCATTCTACTGACACAGTTAAGACTTCTTGTTTAAATAAAGCATTATTTGCCTTGATTAAGGTAACAGGACATCATGCAGAAGATCCCGTTCTTTATTTCCTCTATCAGACATGCAGATTAAATATTATAAAAATGCTGAAGTGTCTTTTATATTTTCAAATATTGATGCTATGAAAAATAATCAGACCTTTGCCATCTCATAATGTGTTAGACAACACCTCATCGAGAGACCAGGAGTAAGTGGGCATGCACTACAGGACTTCCCAGCAGAGCACAGTACCTGCTGCAAAGTATGGGTTGAGTCTGCATTTTGTAACATAGTAGAGCTGTATCTCTTGGTTTCATGAATTGTTGATGTAGAGATTGAAAGCAGAGTGTAAATTATATAGATCATCTCCAGATGAAACAACATACATAACTTCAAGAATACATGGAGCTGGGTATATTCCTCTCTTTAGTTTACAGAAAACCTACTTTCCTACTGAGTTAGAGCTGACACTTTTTTTAAAATACCCCTTTATTTGTAAAGCCCCATTGCTTCAGTGTTATGAATTTAATACTATCATGGCAGGAGAGAAACCTTCCCCAGTACCTTTCAGAAATTTCAAATTTCAAAAGACTTCCCTTATCAAATAGCATCGTAAATGTACATAATGCTTTTCCTTGAATGCCCTGTGTTTATTCTGCAGTAAAACTTTATGATCCAGTGGCCAGAGAAATGCCCTTTTTCTCACAGTGGTGAACAGTCAGTCAGCATCACCTGCCCAAAATATTAAATACTAAATCCAACTCAAATAGTACTAAGTATTACTAATTATTTTTTTAAAATACAATAAGTATTAAATCTTTCTCTTTGCCTTCTAGTTTTTAGGAACAGAATAGTCTGCTATCAAGGTTTATGTGACCACTGCATACCATTAACATCAGGCATAACTTGAGGTAGTAGATAGAGGGAATCAACTTTCAGTGGGATTGCTCTGGATAACAATGAATAAGGTGCCACACACCTACCTATAAGGGAAAACTTGACTCCAGGTGAAGTCCCAGGAAACTCATTTAGTTTTGCTAATTCCTAAGGAAGAAGACCTCAAAACTCAGAACAGAAAGGAGTGAAAAGCGTGTGTGCTGTTTTTCTCATAAGAATGTGTCAAATGAAAGTTAGCAATGTTTATGGCAGTAGTAAGTGTTTAATTGAGGATAGTTGAAAAACAGAAAAGCATAAGGAATTTTTCTTATTCCAAAATCCTGAAAAGCATTAAAATTGTAAGAGCTTTCAAATTTGTCACTGGAATTATCAATGCAAGAAACTTTAATCACAGTAATTTCACAATCTCTAGGAAGTAAGAGAAGTTAACTGGCAAATAGCAAAGGAAGATGCTTAAAGAAAAAAAATTAATGGTCTGAATAGTGACAATTTTTGGAGACATCTACCTTGCATCTATAAAGATTACTGTGTGCTCAGGTCAAATGTCAATTAAAAAATTTCCACATACATCCTTTAGAGAACAAAGAGACATCATTTCAAACATTACACAAAATGCAGAGTTTATCCCACATGTTCTTAAGGAAGTCTATGCTATGACTGTGGGACAAGTTACAGAGATATGGCAGTTCCTTCCCCGTTCTGAGATCTTCACCTTCATTGTTCATAGGCACCAAATACATTATGGTGTCCTCATGAAAGATTTGTATCTAATAACATCAAATATTGCATATTGTTAATAACTGCATATATTTACTTCTGTTTTTCCCACTAAAGTCAGTTTGCTATTAGCTGGCTTAGGTTTCATGCAAACAGCAGATACTGCAACACCGAGGCGTAGTGACTGACCACGCCAGGTAACTGATTATATAAAAAGTGGATGTTTACACAGAGGTTCCAAATAAGACCATTTTTAAATTATGTCAGTAATTAGAAGGAAGGCCTCCAATTCAAGAGATGATTGGAAGAAGTAGAGGTAGAAGAGGAAATTGATTAAGCAGGCTGGTTCTTTTAGGAAAGAAAGTGAAGTGTTACAAGAAATGACAATATCCCTGAAAAGTAGTAAACTATATGCTGAACCATAGGCTTCCAAACTTAAATCAGCCTCTGTCAGCTACAAATCAGGGAAATGGCAGGAGTCAGAATTCATTAGGGTCTTTACCTCTGATGCTTTTGGCATCTATTTTACATGTAGCTTCTTCCATCTCCTTGGATTTGGCGCAAGACTGTAGAACAACCAAGACTTAGAATCCTTTGATTTATCTCCTCAATTATTTGTAAGGCCAGTGAAATGGAGGTTTCAAATTCTTTGTTAGTTCCTTTTCAGCCTAACACTAGATAATAGACCCATAGTAGTATTTTCTTAAAGCATAAGCTTTTACAGTATGCCTCACTGTGTATTTGCCAGTATTTATGAATTTTATACATAAAAATATGTACACACATGCACTCACCTACCCTATATATAGAAAGACCTACACACATCCTATAGCTATGCCAACACCAGCAGCCAATCTCATTTAACTAGCATAGTAGAAAAATATTCTTGAACTACATGGACATACTGGTATAGTACCTTGTGTATAAAATGCTGAAATCATTTCACCATCAAAATTATGTATTTCTGACATTTCTAGGTTAGATGTAATACAATATGCTGCAAAAACATAACAGAAAAAAATGTCTTCTGTCTTGGTGAGTGCTAGAAGTTTGTCCTTCCTTCTCCTAACACAGCTGAGCACATGTATGGACCCTCCCTGGATCAGACCAACATGCTCCTGGCCAGTCTGGGTTGGGATAATGACTAGAATCTTCCAGTCTGTGTTCTGTAGGTCAGAAGATTCAGAATGCAGTTTTGACACATTCAGAATACCATCTCAGATTGGAACAGCTTCTGCACCTGTTTCTCACAAAGCATTTCTATTTATAAGCAAATAGGAATGTTGCAATTGTACTAACATTTATTTTAAAGTTTAGTTAAAGTTTTCTAAAACTGGTTTAGTGCAATAACACTTTTATAGGAAAAGGTTATTTAGAATTCAAATCAGTTCTGAGGCTCACTGACTTAGAGCTGTATTCTTAAGCCATATAGTGCACTACATGCTTTACAATTTTTTTAATATGGCACTTGCTGGCAACTCTGAGTTGCAAGGTAACAAAAACATGCATAAATAATATACTAGAAAATATATCTCCTCTACCAGCTTATCAAAATGCAGAGAAGCTAGAAGGAAAACAATATTATCACATTAGGTCTACATTTAAGAACTAGACACAAACACTGTGTAAACACAGACCTATTTTTATCATTTATGTAATTGTCATAAACTGCATTTATTATACCTTTAATATCATCACCATTAGTCAGATCCAGTGATCCACCTCTGCTATAATGATTTTTGTTCCAAATCTTCAAGAAGCCTGCAAACAACTTCCTGTCAAAACAAACACAAAAATTAAACAGAATTTGGGGGATTCTTTTTGCCATGCAAATAATGTTCCTTTTGACTCCAGCTCTAGCTACTTTGATTATTAGCTACAATCCAGTCAGAATCAAGGACAGTTTTACAATCTTCTTGTTTATGTTATTTTAATAAAAAATAATTTGGTTTTAAATGTTCCCTGGTGAAGAAATTAAAAAAAATCTGGATGGATGCTACATTCATTTTCTTTCTCCCCATCTGTCTGTTTTCATTTTATTATATTACTTTTCTTCCCATGTCCCTTGCAATCTCCTTGTCTGCTCTTCCCTGCAATTTTCTTCTACACTCAGACTATTCCTTTTACAATGCTGCTCTCAGGTAAACAGGCCCCTCTTATCTGTCAGGTTTCCTCTCCATGTTTTTTAAGCTCATGCTTTCCCACATGTCTTTCATAGTTCTGTCTCACTCTTTACACCTTATATCTTCTTGCCTGAAGTATCTGTCTTGCCCGGAGCTTATTTTGTTGCCTTTGATTTTAAGCCATTAGAGACAGACAGTGTTTGCAGAGAGCTGTGTCTGTATATGGTTTCCAGTAGTAATGGGGCATGTCTTGATGCTTTTTTCAGGCAACAGGCAACCAGTTCAGGGTTGTTGGTTTGGGTTTTTTTTGTAATTGTTGAATAAAGCCTTCAGATTTTGGCCACAAAATACCAACAATAAGCCTGACAGATTATTAAATATTAGATGCTAAAATAACAGTCTTATAATTACAGATTCTCTGCCTCAGTTCCCTTCCAGCTCCAGATGAGCTGATCTGCTGCATCATTCTGCAATGCCCCCTGTGCTGGGAATAGGGAAGCTGCTTTGTTCCAGCTGTTCTGACACCCACTTAGTTCAGTGTTCTACCCCTTGTTCTGTCCAAGCACACCTCCAAAAAAAGATAACAGCCCCACAGTCAGCAGATTTGGAACAACCTTTTCTTCAGGGTACTGAGACAGTTGGGGAGATAAGAGGGGAAAGGCTGCTTTGCATATTTAGCTCATCAGTTAATGCTTTCTAATGAGACAAAGGTGGAAGATATGAATACGAAACTGATCACAAAACAATGAAGTTAATGATGCCAAAGAAAGCACAGAGTTACAGAAAAAGCATGGCTTTCCAAAAGTGGATTTTTCTTGGCTCGCGGAATGAACGGGTGGGAAGATCTTTTGGAAGAAATTCATAAGGAAGTAGGAGCACAGGAGAGCCAACAGTTACTGAAAGAAGTGTATTAAAGGCACAACAGACTACCCTGATGTAAAGTAAGCACTGAAATAGAGCAGCAAGGCTTCATCAGGAGCTATTTGGTTAACTGAAAAACAGGAAGGAATCACTCAAAACAGTGAAAATAAGAACTGATTACCAAAAATGAGTTTAAAATAATAGTAAACTCACACAATGAACAAAGGATGAAGGCTTAGAGGCTATATGAGTTAATCTAGGAAAGGATTTAAGTAAAAGACTATCTAAGTAAAAGCACATAATGTGACACAAAGAATTCTGAAATATTCAAAGCTTATTTGCCTAATGTGTCTACAAAATATCTTAGCGTCAGACATGCAAAGCAATTAATTTCAACAAAAGACTAAGACATACAGACCAGAAAAGGGAAGGAATGTGTTAAGCAATATTAATAAATGCCACTTTCCAATCCTGCTGACTTAAACATGTAGTTCAGCAAGCAGTGGATAAAACCAGCCTCCCTGTATCCTCGTGTCTCCTGATCGCATTAGCCAGAGGAAAAAGTATGACTGAAATTTATGGCTGGAATATTCATAACATTCTTCTGTGAGTTTTCCAGTGCCTGATATCAGGGCTTCATTTACACTGAATTCCTTGTTGCCATGGAAGGCTCTCTATTTACCTGCTTATTTTCACAAAATCTTTAGAAACGTGGTATCTCTGAGACTACAATTACTTGGTCCGCTTCAGTTGGAGAGTAAGCAACAAGTTCAAAAGGCACGGTGTAGCCTGACAGGTCATATGTGGGATTGTATAAACTGTGTTTCCATAGGAAAATGTGCTAAAAATTACCCTGGAGCACTTAAAAGATAAAATAATCTCTGTATGATGATTCTGGGATGGGAGCAGGGGGAGGGTGTTCTGGAGGTGGTTTTTGTTTTGGTTTGGGTTTTTTGAGAATTAATGAAGCACAAGAGAGGTCCGAGCAGACTAGAAATTATGAAAATACTACCTTAGGAAACAAAATGCCATTGGCCTCTCATAAATAACCATGCATCTCTGAAAGATACTGTCATAGGTTGTTAGGCAGTTAGTGTATAGGATGAAGAGAACAATATGCTTTGAAATGTAATCTTAGGATCATTATTGTGTCAAACCTCTCCAGTTTCCTTCCTAGAAAGGGCGGCAGGCCTACTGAATAAAAAGGAAGCTGTTAATGTGCTATCTGTACTTTAAAAAAGTCTTTAGTTGGGTCCTCTCTAATTTTGCCTGCAATACAAAAAATGGTGTAGACAAAGTCAAGTAACAGTTGATACAGAAGTAGTTAAATATTTCTCCCTAAAAATATTTATTTAATGGTTTTCTGACAGAATAAGATAGCACTGCAATAACATCCTTCAGGGACTTCTCATGCATCCTATTCTACTCAATTTTTCATTGAACAGTTTGGAAAATAGAAAAGAGAGAAAGGGAGTAAACTTGTAAAATTTGCAAAAAGTCTGGAAGGGGGTTGCAAACACAGGTAAGCAGATCAGAATCAAAAATATTTAGATAATGTGAGAAACCACAACTGAAATAAGCTCATACCAGCAGACTAAAATAGAAAAAAAAATAAGACAGAGTATATTAATATAACCTGATGATGCTTTAACAAGGTAACAGGATTGCAAAGAAGGAATGAATGTACAAGTGGATTTCAAACTAAATATGAGTCAATATGATGATGTTGCAGAAAGGTATTTCACATTCCAAGATGTGTTAGGAAGTGTGCAGTATGTGAGATGCAAGACCTAATTATTTTGCAATTTTCAGTGCTGCTGAGGTCTCAGCTGGAGCATTCTGTGCAATTTTGGGCAATGCATTCCAAGAACAATTTCAACAATTTGGATAGAGTTGAAATAAAGTCAACAAGAATGATATTTTGAGTATATGACTTACAAGGAAAGGTTGAAGAAATGAGGCTTTGCTTCTTCAGAAAAAGGAAGACGATGTAAAATGCATAAAAGGTTGCATACAGAAAGTCATGGTCAACAGATCTTTGTACACACCTGAATTATAACAACTGCTTAATTTGCATCAAAGATGAGTAGTCTAGATACAAAAAATGAAACAACAGCAACCAAAAAAAATTCCTTTTAACCTAAAGTCTAGATTAGATGGAATAGATTTATGAGGTTGTGGAATCCCCTTCATTTGTGGTTGTTAACAGCAGCCTATACAAACATCTGTCAGGGATGACCTAGTTACCCATTTCCTGCCACAACAGGGATAGACTGGACCTCTTTTTTTTCTCTTTTTTCTTTTTCTTTTTCTTTTTCTTTTTCTTTTTCTTTTTCTTTTTCTTTTTCTTTTTCTTTTTTTTTATTTTCCCCATTGTAATGATTTCATTACTGGAGAACCTGTTTCATTTAACTTGGTTGCTACAGATCAAGCAGGACAACTACTACAACTAGGCAGCCAAGGCCTTAGTGAAATAAAACAAACCTCCACATAACATAAAAATTCAGAAAATAGAAAATTATTAAGAAAGCTAGCTTTAGCACTTTTGATACATATATGTATTAAAAATTATTCCTTATTAATTACATTATTTTTTGAAATACAATTCTATTGTCCAAAACATACCCTTTACATCTATTAAGAGGTCAAATTGAGATTTTTAATTCCTTTAAAATAACCAGGGTACTAAAAGTTAGTATTATGTTAATTCTTAATGTCATTATTTAAAGTGAAGTAATATCAATGATTTTCATCAAGAAAGAAAAGTGAAATGTAAACTACAGAAAAACAACTCACAGAAAAACTGTGAATGAAGCTCTGTCAGCACCTCAGTGATACGATGGTATTATAAACATAACCTGCACAAGAGTGTTTCTCCTGTACTTAAGATGCTGTCATCAGAAACCTGTGTTTATCTGCAGTAGCTTTAGGTATCACTGTTACTGATACTTAGATAAAATCAAGCTATGCACATGCACAGACACACACAGTGTCAAGCTAGAGGTACAGTTGATCTGACGACACTTCCATCCCAAGAACTCATGCAATCCCTATTAAAGAAACCAAAATATCACTTATGTTGAAATCTTCATGACTACTATTAAACTTTTAAATTATTTCTAAGAGTTAATTTTTAAAAATACATGTTTCTTTTTCCATTTTTTTTAACTATCAAGAAGGCCTCTTCCATTTTTCTAAGCATGAAAAAAAAAATCTGTTCCAAGATAACATTTTAAATTATTTATTTTACTTGCCTAAAACTCAAAAATGGTTATGTTTTCAGACCAAGCTTGTAGTTTACAAAATGTACATAGCAGAAGAACATTTTCAGTTGTTTTAAACTCACCAATCAAGAAAAGAATCCAACTCCTACTACTGGCCTGCAGTGGGATAAAAGGAAACAAGTCAGTAAACCAGAGACACCTGGTTCAAAATATGGGATGTGTGGTCAAAGGCTTTAACAGGTTCTATATTACCCAAAGCTCCATCAACCTTTCCAAAATATGTGAATTATTAGAACTACACTAAATGGTAATTGATCCAAGATCAATGTAATTCTTTCCCATTTCTGTAGATAGGTGTGTTTAATTCTCTGTGTATTTCCCAGACTCTGCTAGGTGAAAAAGAACTGTGAAAGAATTCACTAAACTAGCAAGACAAGAAAGCAAAATGCTACTGCTTCATTTGGTGTATAACATTCATAAGGCAACTGGGGAGATTAGCTTTAATTTCCAATCTTAACACGCAATTGCATGCTGGGTTTTTACAATGCAAATGCAGGAACACTGACACACCAATGACTTCCATTTTCTGGATCGGATTTTTGATTGTCCTGCATGCTGAAGTGTAGGATTTTCTCCCCCTTCCCAAGCTGGTTTAAAGCACAAAGAAAAGAGATGAACTACATAATGTAAGAATTAGCATAACTGTTTGGGTAATACTGAGAAGAAAGTACAATAGTTTGCCTGTAAAAGTAAGTTCATATGCATGCAAAAAATCAAATGTATACAGCTGTGCAGTTGCTACCTACAAAGTAAAACTCTGTGCTTATAAATATATGTTTTTGTGGCTGCAATGTATGTAGAATTGCTTCTTTTTAAACCAGCTCGAAGTGAAATTGAGTTTTAGGCCTTCCCATTTTTCCACCAATGTGGTATAATACTGCATGTAGAATGAATGGCATCATAAGGGGATTTTTTTGTATTTCATCTCTTTTTTTCACCAAATTGTATTCCTAGACTGTTCCCCGCAGCTGTTCATCTAATTCATCAGCAAGAACCATATTCAACAAGATTATACTGCTTTCATCTGTCCCCTTCAGAGAAGCAGAGGAAGAGCAAAAAAGTAGGAGAGGTAAGAATGCAGTAAGTGAGCCTACAGGAAAACACAAAATTCCCAGAGTCCTGCAACTCAGTTAAACCCTAGTTATAGGCAAAACATCACAAACTGCCCTTTGATGTGTTAATTGAAATTTAGCTTTCCACATAGTCCCATTTTCTTCTCAGCACAAGGGACACTAGCTGCTCTTGAGAAAGAAAAAAATTAAATGCCTGTCATATAGTTTTTCCTTGCTTACTTCAAGAACAAAGGGTTAAGACAGGCATTGAAAAAGCATCCAAGAGATTAGATAAACAAATAAAAACACTTATGTACATGTATATATGTGCACGATGATAAGACAATTCCTATACATCTTTCCTTCTCCCCTTGCTGCAGCACAGACAAAAGACAGTGTCAAGCCTATTAGGCCTCCTCCCTTTCTCTTCTGCTACAGCTTTCACTAGGCACAATGCATATTAGTACCACAAGAAATAGGGATTTTGCAGTTCAAATAAATCACACATCCTGGGGTGTAATCAATGGCTAAATTAAAAAAAAAAAAGAAAAGGTCATAAGTTAAGGACTGAAACAGCAAGCAAACCCATAAAGGAATAGCAGATGTTAAACATGGCACAATATGTAGAGATGACGTTAACTCATACCTGCATCTTATCAAATAAGCTCAAAGATCAAACCAGACACGTTCATCTCTTGCTGATAATTTGCTCTATGGCAGTCCAGCAGTGTTTCACACAAGTAGTAACAATCACAACAAATAGAGATGGGAAAGAATTCTGCATGTCCTTCAGGCAATGCAGATTTTTCATTTTGTATTTTTCTTTTCTTGGTTCAGTATCAAACACTGAAGATTTGTAGTGGTGGATCTGCAGCCCAGTAGCTCTCAATACACTAGAGTATTCTTCAGTATGGTCTAGCTTTGCTGGTTTTTCTAGAAGGCAGAAGAGGTTTTTTTACTACATTCTCTCATTAGCCTTCTAATTCCCCAATTAGTATTAAAGAGGGTTGGGTTCATAATTCTTGCCCATTTTAGTAGGAAGCAATTACTGTCCACTAATAATAAATATTTATATTTGCAAAGTTGTTTTTTCTGTTATGTTACATCTTGACCTATAGCTGTTTATTTCACAAACAATCCATATTTGTAAAAGTCAGTATCAGTATGCAGATGCTGTAGCATATTTTGAGGATGTCCTGTTGCTGTCTGGATTGCTGTGCAATTTATATCCTCCATTATGACCTTATTTTGAGATATATTTCTCATCTATGCTATATTTCAATCCCCCTTTTTTGGATTGTCCCCTATTTGTTGGCCCTGTGCTGGTAATGAAGTGGCTCTAACTGAATGCTTTCAGTCTGGTCTAACAGATGTATGCCAGGATGAATCTAGTGTTACAGTTCATATATTAGAGAAGAATAATCAAAACTGCATCGTCTGCAGCATTGATTAAGGGACAGCTTGAATCCCTAAGGCATTTCAGGGCATACTGCTAAAGATATTCCCTGTCAAAATAGAAGAATTTAATCTATTGCACTTAGAATAAAAATCCAGGTTCTGGACATATTTAGCACACAGCCAGAAACACACTAGCATGAAATGAGGCAATGAAGTGGTCTCACTGTGCCAAGCTGAGTATCTCAGGATAACATCTAATACCACAATGCAGAACTTTGCCCAGTCTTGAGTAAAATTTCCAGTTCTTTCAGACAGTAAAAGGACTTTCACACTACTGTTCTGTTTCCCTCTGGTTTGATATAAATAATTCTTTTTTTACTTTTTGGAAATTATTCAATGAAATCCCTTTCTTGTCTTCTCAAGTTCTCTCTACCACATACACACATTTCTTCAAGTGTTTTCCCATTTGTGATCAAGAAACTTCAAGTTTCTCAGGGAGGATCATTGCAAAAGAAATTCTGGGGCCATCTTTAGTATGAGTCTTGTTTTCTCTTTTATAGTGACAGAAAAATTCCCTAACATAGACTACAGCCACTGCTGAGCTTAAAGCTACAAGGCAGCCCTTGGTCTGAGAGTCAGCCAATTTTACACGTGCAAACAAACACAGGCAGGTACAAACTGAATGATGTCTCAGAGTCCCCTTCATTTGGAAGAGGCTATTACACAATGCACTGAAGCACCCATAATGGCTCTATTCCTGCATATATGCATAAGCTCAGCAGAAGGTGATCTCCACTGCTCTGGCAGGAGGCACTCAGACACTATTCAGAGAAACAGTGAGTGTTTCCATGTCATTAAGCTGGTGACTAACATTAGTACACCAATTGACAGGATGCTCACAGCATCTATTATTGGTTATGGATGTCATTCCATGTTATCCTCTTCCCCATCATGTTGCGTTCATTATGTGCTAGCAGAGGTTGTATTTTATACATTACCTTTCCTAGGAAAGCCCAACTGCTCCATAGGAGTAAAACTGTGATCATCCTGAAGTCAGGAGCAAATCTCTCATTAGAATCATAGGCCTTTAGGATCACAAATACCAACTATTAACCTAGCATTAGAAATAGGGCTAGAATTTCACAGTAGGAGCTACTAATCCTTTATTTCTTATCTTTCTCTCTCGGGAAAACTTATTTTCACTTTGAAAAATCTTTTATAAGACTCAATACCGACACATATAAAAGGATACCTATCAGACTTGACCCCTAAAAGACAATGCATCTCATCTTCTGCCTTCCAAAGATAGAATCACCATTCATATTCATCTGTCATAGAAACAACAGTGAAAGCAATGCCTATCTCAGATGAAAGTATTCAGCCAATGTTTAAGGGACTAGGGAGGCAAAAAAGATATCGTTTGCTATCAGATTACTTGTCATGCATGTGCTTAATAAAGTTTACAGTCCTCAGGAAGAGCCAAAATAATTATTTCATTGCCAAGAAAACTTAACCTTAAACCACTAAAATCAGTCATAAGATTCATACAGATAACTTTGTACACAATTTGCATTTTTTTCCACAGGAAGTCCCACCCAACTTTCCAATCAGACAATTCCACTTCAGGTAGTAAGGGTAAGTGCCTAATAACACACAGGGTTCTTTTAGCTGCTTGCACGTTAACAACCGGTATAATTGTGCCAAGCTTTTTATTTCAAATGGAGACTACCTGCTTGCCATCATAATGGTCCTTCATTAGAGGACCTATTCCATCATGATTTATATGATACCTAGGCAAGTTCCCAACGGGAGTTGTACTTTGAATAATAAAGGTAACTTCTTTGTTCCGTACAGATTTTGTGCCAGTTCTATCTCCTTTTCACTTATTCTAGTCACTATTTTGATCTTCTTTTTGATGACAGTACGACAGTACACTCATAAATTCATATGCCAAGTTATTAAAAAGTTTTTAAAAATCCAAAGAAGTTATGAAGTATGATGTAAAACTTATTCCAAATTGAGTTTTTAGTGTAAAGGATATTCCATGGCAAATTGCACATACTCATTTATTTACAACAACATTTAGAGGCAAACAGAATAGCAACAGGACATTTCTGCACGTTAGTTTCTTTTTTCCATTATATTTTTAATGTATTTCTATATTGATTCCTGACCACACCTTAGGCATGCACAAAGCAACACAACTGCTATCTATGTAGTTCTATGATTCTACATGGAGCTGGGAAGAAGCAAGTCAACTTGCTTTGTTTTGGAATTTTTATTTTGGTTTACACACACATGCACACAAATATGGATACCTACATTCCTTATCTGTAGTTTCTGAAACAGAGCTGAACTGTTTCCAAAGAAAACAACATCATGGTCAAGCTTTGCTCTTACTGCAGAAAGATCCATTGGTCTAGATGACCTATGTTTTATTTCTAAGCTTTAGTACATCTCTTAAGTAGTTCAAATCTCATTCTTGGAGTGCCTAGAGAAAACAGAGCAGAATATTGATACCAAATTATTATTCTTTTAATAGGTAGAGCCAATTCTTTGAATAGGCAGAGCAAAGAACAGAAGATACAGAAAATCAGATGAGCTGCACCCTCCATCTCTGAGAATACACAGCATTCTTCTGTCTTAGCTGTAAGTCTTCAGTGCCAAAGAACATGCTGTGCATGTTACCATATCCCCATCACTCTAACCCAACCATGAGCAGGCAGTGAGTTAACAATGAGTGAAATTAGATGATTATTCATCAGGGTAAGACAACTTCTTACACAGGGTCATAACCAGTTACAGTTTAGCAGCTGGACTGCAGCTATGCCATGCCTTTTCTTGCTGATGGGACATGTACAAAATATCCAGGTTGTCTGAGAAGCCTTTGCTTATGTATGGCTTTAGTCAACCTTTATTATGATGGTTATTTTATCCATGGCTCTTGTTATTTAGTCCTGACATTTAGCAATAGTAAACTGTTTACTGGATAGTTTCTTGTCATGGGATTCAATAAAATTAAAGCAAAGATTACATAGGGATTTTTTTGAAAAGAAGTTATGATTTTTCTTCTATAGAAGTTTTCACTTTTCAGTACTGTCATTCCAAACTCTAAACCTTCTACCATCATATGGTAAAGGGTAAGATGAGCCCTTTTGATGAGGAATGCTGCAGAGGACTAGAAGGAAAAATTCCATCTGGGGACTAGGGTGCCAATAACTGAGGCTAATGCACATTCAGAATAACTCAGGACATTCCAGACTCCAGCTGAAAGAGCAATTGCACTGTTATTGTTAAGTTCCCCTAAAGACAGTGTGAGTGCAGAGTCCACAAAGACATTAGCTTTTTCTTGTTTTTCAGGATGAGAACCAAACTATCCCCTTGCCTTAATACAAACAAATACTCACTGGTAGGAATAAACTCAAAAATGCTACTTACAATGTGATGTGTCTATTGCTGAGTATATTAAATACCTATTCCCTGTTACAGACTTGGGTATTTTTCCACAGAACACTTCCTGAGTATAATTCACAAATTAGT